CTTTATGTGTATATTTCAATCTGTATTTATGTTACTGTATTTCACTTGAATCATTCAATTGTCATTGTATATTTATTTTTGTTTCTGGTGCAATAAAGAGTTAAAGAAAAAAACCTAACATCAAATTCCATTCAAAACGAGTAAAAGAAAAAACTAATTTAACCGAATTCAAAAAAGGGGGGTAAAATTCGATCGTACATTGTTTATATTTGTTACCTAATAACTCCGTCAGTTGTAAACCGAATTGGTAAATTCTTTTTTTTTTTAGTAATATATACTTTCGTATTGGAAACGTAGAAATTTTACTTAAATCTATTCATTGGTTCAGTTATTAAATGAAAATAACTGTATTTCTCACAATTGAAGTCGGTTTTTTTAGTCGAATACAATATTTGTTTTCGTCAGGTGCTGAGAAAAACAACGCCTTATGTTTTTCCATTATTCAAATCTATTTTCGTGATAATAATAAAAACAGCTCAGCCAATCCTTTCTCAGCCGGATGCCTCTTCGGGGTTGCGGGAAAGAGGTTTAGGGCTCCCCCTCGTGGGCGACTAAACGTCATATTTATTCTTTACCGGCCTCTAACGACAAGGGTCAAGTTGGGTGGCGCCATCTATTTTAAAGTTTATCATTTCAATGTGTAACTTCTTTACGACGGTGTACAATGATTTGGTAAACGTATATATTTTGTATTTTGATTCGTAAAATAAAAAAATGACAATAGGTTTTTTTTTATACAACTTAGAATGGCAAACAAGCTGACGGCCCACCTAATGGAAAGTGGTAACCGTCGCCTATAGACATGAGCAGTACCTGTACATAACAGAGTATATATATAGGAATAACACCCGAGTCCTCAGGAATGGCAACGCATGGGGGGTATCATGGGCGAAACAGTATACTCTGTTATGTCCACGGTACTGCTCATGTCTATAGGCGACAGTTACCACTTTCCATCAGGTGGGCCGTCAGCTTGTTTGCCATTCTAAGTTGTATAAAAAAAAAAAAAAAAAACGCAAAGACTACTAAACGGATTTGAACGAAATTTAGTACACGGGTAGGTCATATCCTAACTTAGCACCTAGGATATTTCATCTACTGATTCACGTAGGCGGAGCCGCGGGATAGTGCCAATAAAACAATAAATACTTACTATCGTATTACGCGTATTTTTTAACAATCCATTCTATTACGCACTTCAGAGCTTGCCAGTCTTTGAACTTTGTCATTACCTTCAAGTTAACCAATTTATTGTTAATTCGGTTTAGTAGTTTAACAAAACAGTTTTTAACTAAGATACTGTCTTTGGTCGTTTGTCGGATCAAATGAATTAATATTTATATTTTAATCGACTTCCCAAAGGAGGACTGTTGTATTTTTTTAGAACCTTAGTAATTGTAGGCAGGGCTGTAGCTAAATCCAAGTTAAAGGTAGGCTAAAACAACTTTTTGGTAGGGCAAAAGTCATAATTGAGTGACTTCGAAAAAACGAATCTGTCTAATTTTCTTGGGGCTTGGGGAGAAAGGGACTGTTAGTAATGGAGACTGAGAATCCCATTGCTAGCAATATACCCAACCAGCTCGAACTCCTCGCGGTTCTTCCTGGAAACTATCATGGTTAATTCCTGATGAATTCATCATGATGGGCTAACTGGCCTGTTTTCATTCTCATCTATCACCTTTCACTGGTGCTCTGCCAGCGTATCCCGCTAGCGCAGGCGGGGTTACCATACTATTTTCACCCGTCAAAAAAATTTTTCTTGGGGCCTTTCATTTTAAGGTTGAGCATTGGGTCTTTTAAGGTAGGGTATTGACCCTTAATGCCCTCCATTCAGCTATGGCCATGGTGGCATTTGATGGATCATAACAATTTAAGATCGTATCCCTCAAAAACTCTACTTCGATTGTGACAAAAGAAATGATTTTTATTTCAAAACTAAACTATCGGATTGATTTTGATGATCCTTTCAGATAAAAAAAAAAACTTTTCCAAATAGATTTACAACCACAAAAATCTAACCTTCATCATTTCGAAGTTTATTGAAAATGCCATAAACGATGAAACTGGTCACGTATCTACTATAAGATATATCTTCAGGATCGAGGAATGGGCAGCAGCGTCCTTCTCATAACATCACCAAAAACTGTTTGATGTTTCCTCCCACAAACACTCAGGTTGTGTAATGAGCTCCCTGCCGAGATTTTCCCAAGATACTACAGCATGGGGTTCTTCAAAAGGGGGGTAAAGAGGTTTCTTCAGGGTCGGCAACGCACGCGTAATACCTCTGGTATTGCTGGTGTTCATAGGCTACGGTAACCACTTACCATCAGGTGGGCCGTATGCTTGTTTGCCACCTCAGTGGTATAAAAAAAAACTACAGATAAACCATAAACATAAAACTTAAAAGTTATAACTCGCAAAATATTTAACCAAGCTGACTTAATCTCTGTACTAAAACTATAGAGGATCGTGTGAACTTTGAAGTTTAGAAAGCCAGCGATTATCCTAAAGTTCAAAATGACAAAGCCCGATCCGATCAAAGGTAGACTGTTTCCAAACTAGGTACTAACTTACTGACAAAATACGGGAGATTAAATCAGTTTATCTTAATTGAAAACATAGTAAAGGATTCATAAAAGTCAACAAACGTCTTTTTAACCCCCGATGCAAAAGTGACGGGGTTTTACGTCTTTCTCTTTCTCTCTCTCTGGCTCTTTCTGCCTCTCTCTCTTTCTATGTATGTGTGCCTGTCTGTGGCATCGTAGGATAAACAGATGAACTGATTTTGATTTTGATTCTTTTGTTTGAAAGACGAATTAGTCGGGAGTGTTCTTAGCTAAGTTTGATGGAAATCGGTCGCAAGATGGCCGCCGCCACGAAATGTCGGACTACATATTTTTTTCCCTCAATATAGGTATCAAATAAAATGGCTTAAGTAGTAGAATATATTACAAGTGAAGCAGTTGTGTTTGCATGACTGTGTTTCGGTTTGAAGGGTGGGATATGGCGTGAAATTACAGGGTACAGAGGAATAACACCTGAGTCCTCAGGAATGGCAATGAATGGGGGGTATCATGGGCGAAACAGTATACTCTGTTATATCCATGGTATTGCTCGTGTTTATAGGCGACGGTTACTACTTTCCATCAGGTGGAGAGTCAGCTTGTTTGCCATTATAAGTTGTACAAAAAAAATAAAATCAAATTTAACTAAGACAAATTTCAAATCCAAGATGGCCGCCACCACAATCACAATCGTTCTACACCGCGTTTGCCGAACGGAGTCGCCACTCAAGAACCTTTCTTGAATGAAATCTAATAAACTATATGACGTCAGCGACTTCTTTTTCTGCAGAGCAAAATATGTAAAAGTTATATTTATTCGTACAAAAAAAAAAGGTTCGTATAAAAGTCGTATTAAGACGCCTCATGTCTATATTTCTTGAATATCTCCCATGGACAGACATCGTCCAGTTAAAATTATAGGATATTAGTAAGAGAGATAAGCTCAATTCCCATTGAAGTCCCTCTATACCCCAGGTATAATTAAATTAAATACCAGTCACGTAATATTCAAAATTTTACCCAGAACCGAATTTAATGCAACAGTTGATGAATTAAACTGAAAATTCAAAGAGAGCTGTCACTGTTGCGAATTGAAAGCGCTCGGTGCCCAGTATGAACCGTTCGCAGGTGTCGGACGGTTAATTGAAACACGTGTCGCAAAACGTGCGTGAACAAAATCGCAGTCGGAGATTGATGGCGAATATGGAGGGTTGTGGTATTTCTGCTAGTAATAGTGGTGGTCAATCTTCGAGTGTTGGCAGTCGCACACATACTAACGGTAGCGGAATTAAACAAAATAATTCTAATCAGATAACCAGTGATATAGACTACCTCAAGATAGCACCTAATTTAGTAAGATATTAGATTCGAGCGTTCACCGCTAAAGAAACCCCATTTGCTATGGCTCCTCAGTTCCAAGGTACGTCTCTTAACATCTCTAAGAGCATTGGGATCTTTGGTGTCGACATCTCTAGTGACTTCAGGGTCGGCAACGCGCGCTTAATATTCCTGGGCCGTATGCTTAATTGCCACCTCAGTGGTATAAAAAAAAAGATATATATTTCTAAGTAAATTGCTTGACTAGGTATTATTTTGCTGAGTCCAAATCACTAATTAGTTGATTGACGATATGGAAGGTCGTGGAACTTCTACTGGTAATCGTCATTATCATATCAGCCGTTAGTTAGCAGCCGTAGCCCACTGCTGGACTCCCTCATAAGGAAAGCTTTGCCGGCAATTACTACCAGGGCCGTAGCTAGACCCAAGTTTAAGGTATGGCAGAAGACATAATTAAGTGATTACGAAAAAGCGAATGTCTATTTTTCTTGGGGCCTTACATTTTAAGGTAGGGCATTGGGTCTTTTAAGGTAGGGCATTGTCCCTTAATGTCCCCCTTCCCCCCTCCTGGCTACGGTCATGATTGCCACGCTTGACAGGCGGGTTGGCAACCGTAGTTAGGCTTTGGTGATATTTAAAGAGCGATGCTGCTGTTCATCTTTCGACCATTTAGTTTCCTCAGTTGCCTCTTATGACACCGACAGGAATGTACACTGTGGCCCATTATTTCCCGGGGTGTGGTCCCGGCAACTAGTGGTAATATTTTTTAATGGTGAAAATGGAATGCCAACCCCGTCTGCCTTATCAAATTACACTGGCAGAGCATCAATGAGGGATGATAGGTGAGGGTGAAAGCAGGTCAGTTAGCCCATCATGACCAGGCAAAACCGTGTGGAGTTTGACCTGACAAGTAGTGGCAATATTAGACCCCATTACTAACAATCCCTTTCCCCACATACGGGATCACCGTCCCATTCTCATACTAACGACCCTCAGCCACGAACATTTGGCCAGTGTTCTTACATGTATGAGCATCCATTTAACTTTACTGTCTTCATACAAAGTAATTGTTAATTTTAACTTAAAATACCGATGTAGGGTGCGCGGCGGCGAGATCAAAGCGCGACCACGCGACTACAAAGGGCGGCAAAGATCAAAGCCGCTGGGTATTTATCCGTATATTTAAGTAGATTCTGGATGAAATTTCCGTTTCAGGATCCGAGTATTTTTGTATCAAGCGCTGTAGCAGCTTTATACTTGTGGCACATACTCATTAAGTCTATATTGTATTCTTAAATGTAATGTTAGTACTTAAGAATTTAATAAAGTATATATATAAATTAATGCCACTTTTCGTTGTAATTTGATAACTCAAGAATGAGCTCACCTATCCAAACCAAATGTTTTTTGCTTTGTTTGGACTTATTTAGTAGGTGGTTTATGTGAAGTTTGCACAAAATCGGTCGAGCCGTTCTTTATTTATCACATTTTTTTGTAACAAATGATTTCAATAAATGGCGGATCATTTTGTTAATGCTATTAAAAGTAACGCTTTATCGGCCTACTCTATGCCGTAGGGGGGAAAGGGATTGTTAGTAATGGGGTCCAATAGCCCCATTGCTAGCAATATACCCTCTCAGATCGACCTCCACGCGGTTCCTCCTGGAAACTATCATGTTTAATTGTTGTCGAATTCATCATGGTGGGCCAACTGACCTGCGTTCACTCTCACCTATCATCTTCCACTGGTGGCTTGTCGGTGTATACCGATAGCGCGGGCGGGGTTACCATGCCATTTCCACCTATTAAAAAAAAAACTAGGCCTTAATGGTGGAGGGATGGGGAGCAGCGTTACTCTTAAAACATCTCCAACGCCAAACTGCGGTTGCCAACCCGCCTGTCAAGAGTGGCAACGACTGGCAAAACCCTCCTTATGAGGCCTCCCTCAGTTAACGGCTTTCTTTCAAATTGGGAATTTAGCATAAAAAGGGGATAAAACAGTTCAATAGTTAAAGTAGTAATATAATTGGTTTGATGTTTTTTTTTAAGAAGGGGGTAAGAATTCAGGCCCTTTATAGAATGGCAAAGAAGCTGACGGCCCACCTGATGGAAAGTGGTAACCGTCGCCCATAGACACGAGCAGTATCATGGACATCTGTTTCGACCATGATACCCCACCATGCGTTGCTAAACCTGAAGACTCAGGTATTATTCCTCTGTGCCCTGTAAATTCACTGCCATATCCCACCCTTCAAACCGAAACACAGCCATGCTAACAACTGCTTCACGGTAGAAACACGAACGGGACAAAGGTGGTCAAGCAAACGACTTTTGTACAAAGTCTCCCTCTGGTAAAGACCTAAATAGATACTAGCTAGCTCGTCCAACTTGCTTCGTACTAACATACCTTCTTAATATTAATCTTATCAATACGGGAAAGCAATTAAAATGAATATTAACTCACTAAATATTTATCCACGTGGCTAATTATTCTATCTCGAAATATTTAATTTATTTAAGTATAAGTGTTAAATTTAGATTTAACAATTTAGATGTAATAAAATGACGCCCACGGAATTGGATTACGGCAGTCTTGGAGGGCTAGCGCCACATTCGACCGACTTTCGGTCGCCGATCATCCGCGGCGGAAAAGCGAATACAACAAATTGCATATAGTTTGCTACTTTATTTTTTATACCACTGAGGTGGTAAACAAGCATACGGCCCACCTGATGGTACTGTACGAAAGATTGTTGTTACATGGATTTAATTTTTTTATATGAATGTTTTACGACTTTTAAGCCTCTTCTTTCAAGTTCAAAATGCCTAATCTTGGCGTTTATATTGATAGCACACTATCACAGCAATCAGTACTGTGTTTTTTCAAATGGATGAAAATGAAATGGTAACCCCGCCTGCACTATTACCAGAGGGAGACTTTGTACAAAAGTCGTTTGCTTGGCCATCTTTGTCTCATTCGTGTTTCTGCCGTGAAGCAGTTGTGTTTGCATGGCTGTGAAGGGAGTATTCAGGAATGGCAACGCATGGGAGAGGGTATCATGGGCGAAACAGTATACTCTGTCTATGTATATGTGTTATGTCCATGGTACTGCTCATGTCTATAGGCGACGGTGACCACTTTCCATCAGGTAGGCCATCAGTTCCTTTGCCATTCTATGTTCCATAAAAAAAGAACTATCGCTATACACTACCGGGGCACCAGACATGTAAGCATGAAAGTAGGTCAGTTGACACATCACGATGACTTCATCAATAATTAACCTCAATAGTTTTCAGGGAGGACCACGTTAAGGTCGACCTGTTACCAATAAAGCTGTTAGACCCCATTACTAACAATTCCTTTGTCCCATTAATACTGTGTATGCGATTATCATCTTAACAGTCTGCAGATGTAATGCTACATGGCCTTCAGTATTAGGGGTAAGCAGAAGCACGTGACCGGAAAGTGAATTTCAAAGTTTAATAATTGTAAAGAGGCACGTGGCGGGAAGAAAATTACAAAAATTAATAATTCTAGAGAGATATGAACCCGAACTTTTGTTTCAATACAATTTAACGGAAATGTAAATTAAGAAATAATTAACCCGACTATAAGACAGTTTGCTGATGTCTAACAGTTATACAAATCAAACGTGAATCAATCGATTGAACGTTTCGATTGGTTTTTAGATAGACAGATACGTAGATACTCTTTTTATTGTTTCCTCCAAAATATTACAATAGTAAACTTATCATCATCATCATCATCATCATTTCAGCCATTATCCGTCCACTGCTGGATATAAGCCTCCCCCATAGACTGCCATAAAGAACGGCTCTGAGCCAAACTTAATACAATTACAAGGTTTTTAATATAATTTAGAGACAATTTCAATAAAATTTGTTTAAATTTTCACTGACTTCTATTGAAATAAAGTATATACAGGTTATTTGTTTAGAATTATTTTGTTTAATTCCGCTACCATTAGTATGTGTGTGATTGACCACTACGTGAATCAATTTTGGTCCGTCGTCGAGCGTTGGCACTACATCACTATTGTTGTTTTTAGTAGTAATAGTAGTGAAATAGTAGATCAAAAATCAAAATGTGCGTGAATGAAATGACTGTCGGAGATGTATGGTTGATATGGAAGGTGTGAAACTTTTGGCAGTAATAGTGGTGATCAATTTTCGAGTGTTGGCAGTCGCACACATACTAACGGTAGCGGAATTAAACAAAATAATTCTAAACAAATAACCAGTGATATATACTTCCGTAAGACACCTAATTCAGTAAAACAAGAGATTGGTATTCGCTCGTAGACGACTAAGCCCGTACCGTGCTTTCATATTGCGCTCTCTTTCTATTATACGTAATACGACAAAGAAAGCACGCTCGTCCGTAAACCTTATAAGACAATAACGAAAATAAATGATACGTCCAGAACAATGCTTCGCCAGCAATATATTGCATTGTCCGCTGCAGATGTTTTATGTGATTCCCAATAAGATCATTTTTCTATTATTTGTTTTAATAAAATAAGGGTGATTTTCTAATTTCTTTTCAAGATATTTGTGCAAGCTGACGGCCCACCTGATGGAAAGTGATAACCGTCTTCTAAGGATTGGGAAAAGGGTTTTTTATGGATGATAATGGAATGGTAACCCCACCTGCGCTATCGGTATGCATTGGCGGGGCACCAGTGAGGGATGATAGGTGAGAATGAAGCAGGTCAGTTAGCCCATCGTGATTAGTATAACAATAAATCAATCACGATGATTTCCAGGTGGAACTACGAGGAGGTCGACCTGACAGGGTATATTGCTAACAGTCTCCCCTGGAAAAGGGGTTACCAAACCCCATTGATAGCAATATAGACTGTCAGGGGGAAGGGATAAATAATAATACGGACTACCAGTCCCATTCCTAGCAATATACCCGTCAGGTCAACCTCGACGTGGTCCTTCTGGAAACCATAGTGTTGAAATCCTGGTGTATGTATCACGATGGGCTAACTGATCTGCCTTTTAATTCTCACCTGTTACCTCTCACTGGTGTTCCGCCAGCGTATACCGTTAGCGCAGTCGGGGTTACCATTCTTTTATCATACATTACACTGTTAGGTCGATCTCCACGTGGTTCCTGGAAATCGTCGGTGTTGATTTTAGTTGAATTCCTCACGATGGCCTAACCGACCTGCTTTCATGTTCACATTCAACGCGAGTGTTATTAACAGGAGAGATTTGATTTTTTTTATTGCAATTTATGGGTTAAAAAATAAATAAAAAAAAAACTTGAACGATGTTAAAAATTCATTCATTCATCTATAGAAACCTACATTGTAAGCAAATAAAATGGACTGTATTTTATTGTAAAAAAATATATCTTATCGATCCGTGCGAAGCTGGGACGAATAGCTAGTTTAGTATTTTTTTAATGTATTATCTAATACCCTAAATGTCATTGCACGTAATACGTTAAAATAATTACAATCGAATTAAAATCCTTTCTCCCTTTGAAATCGGTCGAGAATTATCTGACAATGTCGCATTACATTTTCAGAAGGGAATCAAAGAGAATAACATAAAAGGACGGACATTTTCCTTCGGGATATTTTGAATACAGTAACAATATACATTGCTTGCTTTGTTATTTATCATTTACCCGGCTGTCTACAATAGGAGGGTAATGTTTTAGTAGTTATTATGATTATCGAACCATTTTCCCATAAAGAAGGAAGTACTCGATTCGTGTGAATTTTTCATTACTGCCTATAATAAGAGGGCAGTATTTTAGTGGTTCCTGTGTATGACTGGATTACATTCAATGACTCCCAAAAGTACTTTATGAACTCGATTCGTGTGAATTTTTTGTTTGTTTGTTTGTATAAGCTTTATTGTTGTTTTCGTGTGAATCTGACATAGAATAGGCCACCCCATCTTTCCTTGTGGGGGGATGTAAGAGGCGACTAAGGGAGCTTATGGTGGAGAGGTGGGCAGCAGCATCCGTCGTAAAACATCACCAAAAGTCAAACTACGTTTGCCAACTTACCTTACCTGCCAAGCTTGGCAACTACTGCCAAAATTCCCCCTTGCGGGAGAGGCTACGCTCAGCAGTGGATAGTAAATGGCTGATACAAATAAATTTTATTGTATATTTTCATATTTAAAACAAATAACAAAATAAAAAAAAAATTACAAAGTACACAGATGGACTTATGTTGTAAGGCTTTACAGCCTTTTATTTTTATATTTATACTAGCTGTTACCCGCGACTTTGTCTGCTTGTCGAGGTTATGTTCTTTGACTGAGAAAAAGTTGGCTATCCATCTATATCCAATATAGATACGACAGTCATCATCATCATCAGCTGTTATCTATCCAATGATGAATGGCACGCCCTTCCAACTTTTTTCTTCAACGTATGTAACCATATATAGACGTGGTGTTTTGTTTGTGTTAGATAGATAGATAGATAATCTTTATTACCACTAATAAAATTTAAAAAAATCAACAATAAAAAGAAAAAAGCTACAATTCATTTTGCTGGTTGCTGCAGCCGCCTCAGCTGTTGCTATATATGCACACCTCTAGCGAGATGTACCTATACAGCGGTGATTTTCAGACGGCCTCTTAATTAATTTTAACTTTAGCATGCGTGCGGGTCGACAATACCCATTTCTCGGATGGGAGACTCTATACGCTTAACAATAAGAGTTACTTACCAATAAGTGTTTGTGAGTGTCTCCACTAGCGATCCGGAGAGAAAGGACCATGTTCCTCGTTCGAAGCCTTTTAAATATTACTCACACACTTTTAATACTGTAGATTTTAGACATCTCCACTAGCGATCCGGAGAGAAAGGACCATGTTCCTCGGTCGAAACCTTTTAAATATTGCTCACACACTTTTAATACTGTGGATTTTGGACGTCTCCACTAGCGATCCGGAGAGAAAGGATCATGTTCCTCGGTCGAAACATTTTAAATATTACTCGCACACTTTTCATACTGTGGATTTTGGACGTCTCCACTAGCGATCCGGAGAGAAAGGACCATGTTCCTCGGTCGAAACCTTTTAAATATTACTCGCACACTTTTCATACTGTGGATTTTGGACGTCTCCACTAGCGATTCGGAGAGAAAGGACCATGTTCCTCGGTCGAAACCTTTTAAATATTACCGCACACTTTTCATTCTGTGGATTTTGGACGTCTCCACTAGCGATCCGGAGAGAAAGGACCATGTTTCTCGGTCGAAACATTTTAAATATTACTCACACACTTTTAATACTGTGGATTTTGGACGCCTCCACTAGCGATCCGGAGAAAAAGGACCATGTTCCTTGGTCGAAACCTTTTAAATATTACCGCACACTTTTCATTCTGTGGATTTTGGACGTCTCCACTAGCGATCCGGAGAAAAAGGACCATGTTCCTTGGTCGAAACCTTTTAAATATTATCGCACACTTTTCATTCTGTGGATTTTGGACGTCTCCACTAGCGATCCGGAGAGAAAGGACCATGTTCCTCGGTCGAAACCTTTTAAATATTATTCACACGCTTTTCATACTGTGGATTTTGGAGGGGCGTACCATGTTATCGTAGACAGTATATACACGACCTCTGTCCCGAAGCATCCAGTTCACAATTATTTGATAATATGCCAGTAATTTG